ATTCCTGCTCCTTCTTCCAGCCTGGGCTCAACCCCTCCCCCTCCCTCTGGAAGGCTTCACTGACCTCCCAACAAGGTCAAACCTCCCACTAGGGGCACTCACTCTTCCTCTGTCCTTCCTAACAGTTGTCAATTGTTGCTGTTACAGTTTTACAGGTTTTTGTAATTATCTGCCCAGATTAGGCCTCCTCAAGGAGGAAGGGGACTCTGCCGATCTTGATGCCCCTTGGCAGCCCAAGAGCCTCCCCGGCTCAGCGCTGGGCACGGTGCTTAATAAACTGATGTTAGATAAATAATCGGCACCAGCCCCTGTGCCAGGCATTACGTGTAAAATGATGAAAAACATCCCAGAAAGTGAAGGGTGTCGAGGGGGAGGAGAAAGCCAGGGGCAGAGGTGGAAATAAGGGGCAGCTCCTGTCCTGCTTCCCAGACCAATCTGGGGCCTTTTGCAGAACAGCACATGCCTTCACGGCTGACATGTTTCACTGTCTTTGTGTCAGAAAAGTCAGCAACTCAGGTAGGAAAATTTGCTTAATAGTTCATACTTGACACGCAGAACTCTTAATGAATCCTTTTAAACCACTACATGTTCAATATTTGCCGAAAGATGAATAGGGGACACCTCCTTCTGGCATCGAGCTACTAGAAAACAGGGCCTGGATCTTTTCATTTGCCCAGGTGTGGCTGGCATGTCCCACCTGCTCAGGGTCCCTGATAAACTCCAGAGAACACAAAAGGCCTCATTCTTTGCTGTCTAACCATACCCAAAGACGATTTTATTGTGTTACACGCTTTCACTACTTGGTTATTGATTTCCTGTGGCATATCACTATACAAATATTCACTTAAGGACTTTAAAAGACCAAATAAATATGACAAGTATTTAAAATTAGAAACATAGTATGGAGATGCAACCAGCAAAATCCAGACTGTGGGAAACTCTATTAAACAAATGACCGTTGTTTTTTTTTTTTTCAGCAAAACACTTGGGAGATGGGGGAAGGATTTAAAAGTGATTAAAGAGACATATTAACTAGGCACATTGTATAGAACTTCTTTGGTTCCTTATTCAAATATAGTAACTTTTAAAAAAGGAAATTATAGGGCTTCCCTGGCGGCGCAGTGGTTGAGAGTCCGCCTGTCGATGCAGGGGACGCGGGTTCGTGCCCCGGTCCGGGAAGATCCCATATGCCGCGGAGCGGCTGGGGCCCGTGAGCCATGGCCGCTGAGCCTGCGCGTCCGGAGCCTGTGCTCCGCAACGGGAGAGGCCACAACAGTGAGGCCCGCCTACCACAAAATAAATAAATAAAAAAGGAAATTATAGGATAATCAGAGAAATGTGAATATAGCCTGAAACTCTGATGATAATGAGGAAATAGTCAGCACTTTTTTGGAGTGTGGTAATATGGTATTGCAGCTATGTTTTTAAAAGATAGTCTTGATCTTTTTGAGATACATATTGAAATATTTATGGTTTGTAAAATATGAAATAATATAAGGTTTGGGATTTGCTGTAAAATAATCAGAGTGAGGTGGGGGTGGGGAAGGTCTAGGGTTGTAGAAGGAACAAGCCTGCCAGTGGGGAATTGTTGAAGTTGGTACACATAACACTCTGCTCTCCACTTTTAAATTTTCAAAAAGTTAAAAAAGAAATCTAACGAACAAACTGAACCATTAAAGTATCTAAATTTTTGTTAAATAATTTTTAAAGTCTGGAACACCTTAGAATTCTTTCACTTTCCAAGATGTCTACAATAGAGCAGTGCTTTGATTCACGAGCTCTGTAAAGTATCTTTGAAAGTGGGATTCAGCACTCACCGGCTGCTTGCCTTTTGCCACATTTCCACTGTAATGCATCACCCTCTTTCCTTCCATCAGAACAGGCAAATACAGTCTGGCAATGCCTTCCTACTGCTTTTGAAATGCAGCTTTAAACCCATGTCTTGACCACCTACCTTGGCCTGCAGTTGTGCTGGGGTCTGTCAAGAACTGTCAAACCAATGCTTCATGATGACCATACTCCTGAGCCCCGTCCATTCCCAATGGGGTCTCACATCAGTCTTTGAAGGTGCCTCCCACACATTGGGTCTGCAGGGTAGCCTGTCCATTCTTGTCCTTTACAGCTCCCTTCCCATAAAAGTTTGAACTAGCGAACTTAAAATATTCGGAAACTTCCAAAGTCTACTGGACTCTATGCCAAAACCTCTTGTTGGGCAGAAATGAAGTTCTTGAGAGGGTTTAACGATCTTCCATTCCACTTCTGATACAGACAACACTACCCCCTACCCATAGGTTCACTATAGCTAATTCAAAAATGTTGCCTAACTCCAGCTGCAACTCTCAAGTCCAATAAACTTTGTTTGGCTACAGACTTTCTTAATTGGAGTAGGACAGATTGAACTGCTGAAAAATTTAAGGGAGACAGGTCAGATTTTTTTCCCTAGCAAAAATAAATCTTCTCTAAACCTTCCTTGGGTAAATCAACCCTTAATAAAATAAAGCATCTACTGCATTCCCCCGGACTACCCAAAGACAAGACAACCACTTATATTTCATTCACCAGCCTTGGAACCATACCTCACAAAAAACCAAAAGCCTCCATCTATCTCGCTCATGAAACAAAGAGAACAAAAACTTAGAATATATACTACAAGCGCAAGCACAGGATTTTTTTTTAGCAACCCCGTTTCCATCAGGTGCACGTCTACCCACACAAACACACAATAACCCTCACCCCACCCACCCCCCCGTGGAATTTGCCAAACAGTGTGACTTGTGCTGACTTTCAGCGGAGAAAGTCAGGAATTTATGTTTAGTTGTGGTTTTGGCTTTCAATGGGAAGGAAAGGAAGAGTGTGGGGCGTGAAAAACTGGAAATGAGTCTTAATTCTCTTGTTTCCTCCCATCCTTCTCTGCATCAAAATGCAGGTATATCATTGAAATTTCAAATGTGTTTCTCGGGCAGTTAAATACCCCGACGGAGTCTGGGAACAGGGGGTGGAGATTAAGGTGAAACCGAAGATTGGAAGAGTGGACCGGGTCAGAGACCCCGGCGCTCTGCCGGGTTGCATCGAGCATGCGAGGTCGCCCCGCGCCTGCTGCCGGCCGCGCCCCGGTTCTGGCCTGGCCAGCTGTCCTGGGTTTTGCCAGCGACTGCGCCGTCCGGGGTGCCCACTCACACCTCTGGCTGGTCCCGACTTTAGGCTAGGTTCATTCACTTCCGGTGACAAATCCCTCCCACCACTTCTAGAAATAATGTAACATTTCCCCCATCACTTTCCTAACAACCGACGGCCCCTCAGACAGCAGCCGAGTCCGGGTCTGGGGTCTCACCCCGGCGAGACCAGCAGCGCCCAGCTGCGGAGGGAGTGACGGCCAAGGTCGGGGCGGGGGGGGCAGGGCGTGGGAGGAAGAGGAAGGAGGTGTGGAATCTCACCTCCCCCGCCCCCACCCCTCCGACTGCAGTAATTGGCAAAAAAAATAAGCCATTTTTAGACTTCCCCAGGGCCCCCTGAACCTGGTTGCAGTGAGGAACCCAGTCTCTCCCATTCCGGTGCCCCTCGCCTTCTCCCGGCCCCGTAAGTGACTGCGGGAATCCTGGAGCCCCAGGCCACGCGGAACTGCAGCGGCGGGGGTGGGGGTGGTGGTAGGATGAGGGTTTAGGGGCGGCAGGAATGGGTGGGAGGAAGGGGTGGTGGAAGGGAGAAGGAGAAAAACAGAGGCATGCAAAAGGCTCCGTAGCCAGCTGTTCCAGCTGCCGCTTCCTCCGGCGCGGGCCGGGCGGTGTAATATTCCCCCCCCTCCATCTTTCTCACCACTACCTGTCCCACCCACCCACCACAGGCACACATTCCCCCCACCAGTAGCGGATCTGCAGCCTGAAAGGGGGTAGTAGGAAGGAGCTGGGGGGAGGGGGAGGCCTGCGAGTTTCTAACCTCGTTCTTATAAACAAACCCACATGTGCAGCTGCCGCTGCTGCAACTCACCCCACAATCCCGGATATAAGTCCTGCCCCTTTAAGAGGAAAAAAAGCTTCCCCCTCCTGCCTTCCACCCTACCCATCCACAAGGACCTTTGTCTCCCCACCCCCTCTGTCAGTCGGCCCCGCCCCATGTCCCCGCCCCCTCCAACGCAGAGGAACCAATGGGTGAAGAAAATAAGGCCTGGGTCTGACGTCAGCATGTCCGGCCAATCACAGGGCGCGTTGGTGGGAGGCCTCGCGGAGGGCGCGCCGGGAGGAAGGAAGGCAGGAGAAAGGAAGCTTGAAGGCAAGATGGAGACTGCTAGTGGCTCTGCTACTGCTGTGGCGAGCAGGGACTTGGGATCCCAGAGGGACCGGAGCCTGGTGCCTGAGCGGCTTCAGAGTCGAGAACATGAGCGGCAACTGGAGGTGGAAAGGCGGAAGCAAAAGCGGCAGAACCAGGAGGTGGAGGAGGAGAAGAGCGACTTTTTCGCCGCCGCCTTTTCTCGGGAGCGATCGGCCGTGGAAGAGCTTCTGGAAGGCGGGGAGTCCGTCGAGCAGCTGGAGGAGGCGGCCGCTCGGCTGCAGGGGCTGCAGAAACTACTCAACGACTCGGTTTTGTTCCTGGCCGCCTACGACTTGCGGCAGGGGCAAGAGGTGTTGGCGCGGCTGCAGGAGGCCCTGGCCAAACGTCGCCAGGAGCTGCAGCCTAAGAAGCGTTTCGCTTTCAAGACCCGCAGGAAGGATGCTGCTTCAGCCACCAAAGTAGATTCGGCTCCCGGCGCCCCGGCAGCGGAAGGCATCCCGGCCTCCCCGCCGCCCTTGAAGGAGGAGGAAGGCTTCGACTCCAGCTGGATCTGCGGCTTCTCCAATCTGCAGTCCCAAGTCTTGGAGAAGAGAGCCGAGGAGCTGCACCAGCGGGACGTCCTTTTGACCCAACTAATTAGCTGCACGATCAAACTGTATGGCAATCCCAACACCCTGCGGCTGACCAAGGCTCGAGGCTGCACGCTGCTCTGCGGCCCGGTGTCCACCTCCGTGTTCCTGGAGAACTGCAGTGACTGCGTGCTGGCCGTGGCCTGCCAGCAGCTCCGCGTACACACCACGAGAGACACCCGCATCTTCCTGCAGGTGACCAGCAGGGCCATCGTGGAGGACTGCACCGGGATACAGTTCGCCCCGTACACCTGGAGCTACCCGGGGATCGACAAGGACTTCGAGGGCTCTGGTTTAGACAGGAGCAGAAATAACTGGAGCGACGTTGACGATTTCAACTGGCTGGCCCGTGATGTGGCCTCCCCAAACTGGAGGATTCTTCCTGAAGAAGAGCGAAGGATCCAGTGAGACTAAGCAGTTGTCACTCTTTTCTTCACTCCTACCAAATACACTCTCCCTTGTGGGACTGACTCCAGCTAATGGGACCCCAAAACTTACTTCTTGTCACGCTGTCTGTTTTCATTATTTTAAGACTTTAGATTGTGATAGGCTCCTACTTTCGATTTCCATTAAATTTGTGGCAGGTCTAGCACTTTAAAGAATTTTTGCTATTTTGGTGATGTTTCGGAGCTTTTGTTTGACGGTGATAATTTGAAGCCATAAGGGGAAGAGAGTGTGGTTTTTAATGATAAAGTAAGCTTTCAATAAATATTTGTTTAATAAACGAATTCAGTAGGGCTAGTAGGAGCCAGTTAATGTTGAAGTAAGGTATCAAAACGTGTTCAAACTGCCAGTAACCAAGAGCTTTTTTGAATTGCAGGTTTGACTTTCATAGGTGTTTTTCAGTGGGGCAATGGAAATATTCCTCTCTGGTCTTCAGTTACATGTTAGCTTGGGTTTTTGGCATCCAGCTAGTCATCGACTTATTTGGATCCAAACTTTTGGCATGGACCCCAAGAGCCTCATGAGTCTTAATCACCTGTAAAGCCAAAATAGTTTTAGCTGCCAATTTTTTGTGCACTTAAAATGTTATCGACACCATTGTAAGCACCTTACTCATGTAAACTTATTATAAGTCCTCAAAATATTATGAGGGTAGTTTCTGTAAACTCCATTTTTCAAGTGAGGAAACAGATAGGTTGCCCAAAGGGAACACAGCCCAAGTGGTGGACTGGGATTTGAAATCATGTAGTCTGGCTCCAGAACCCACGTTCTTAACCTCTACTAGATATTGATTTTTGAATAGTGTTAATTGAGTTGGAAAGAAAGCTTCCAAAAGTAAAGAGGGCAAATTGCTTTTCTTAAATTCTCAGGCATAATGGCGCTTCGTATCTATCCTCATACAAAAAGAATTGAGGCAAACATCTGGCTGAGTCTTGATTTTTCCACCCATTTTGCTGTAATTCGCCACTGTTACAAATTTGGCTTTCTGCTCTATATACTACCACTCATTATTCTTAAATGGAAAGTTGTAAGATTTTCAAAAAGCTTTTTGGGTCTAGTGGCCTTGTAACTATGGATGTGCTTTTTATTTAATAATTACCACAAGTATTAAGGTGCTTAAATATCTCAAGTATTTATGTATTTAATATTATATATTCTCTTTTGTTCTGAAAAAGGATTTAAAGTGGCTTCTAGGATATGTGAAATGTAACAAGATAATAAAAACAAATGACAAGGAGGAACAAGGGTAGAGTGATGGATTGGAGGCAGAAATGAAGCCAATAAAAAAAATGTAAGCTGCCAAGCCCTATTCCTTAGCTGGAGGTGAATCCTGATTTTTTTCCCCTCAACTATTAGCTAACTTGAAAAGGGATCCTAATCAATTTCACAGTTCGCAGCATCCACAAACAAGAGGGAAAATCGTTTGCTTGGGAGAGTTAATCCTTATGATAAAAAGAAACAACATATAATGAAATTTTCAACCATATCTTTACATTAGAAACTGACCGTTATCCTAAAGCTGTGCCCCTAGAGGCTGATAGTTTAACACAAGTGCACTTAAGAATAAACCATGCTTGGTTTTTTTTTGGTTGCCCCACCTGTCTTGCAGGATCTTAGTTCCCGACCAGGGGTCGAACCTGGGACCCCTGAATTGGAAGCGCAGAGTCCTAACCACTGGACCGCCAGGGAATTCCCAACCTTTTTCTACTGAAGCTCACAATTTTACACCTGTAACTCTGCTGACCGCCCGACCAGTTGTAGGCCATCCAACTAGTTCCCCTTGACTGACGTCCCTCAATATTTGAAAACATTTCCATCTTTGCTGGTCTTCTTCCTTACTAGAGGCATATCTCTTCTTGCCCAGAGATTCCTCTTCCGCTCGTGCCCATCCCCTCCAACCTCCTATGGCCTCCCTTTCCACTGGCCTTTTTTCTTTTAAGACACCAGATCCTGAGGTCCTCCACCCTACATGTCACTGAATGATGTTCCAGCTCCTTCCCTGTGTGTCAGACATCTTAAAAGAATAGCTGTGTCCACATACACCTACATTTTTCACTCTTTCGGTCTTTGTAATTTTAACTCTTCTCTGCTGAAACTGCTCTTTGATGGTATTAGTGGCCTAATCGCCAAATCTACCGGCTCCCTCCCCTCCCCTCCCCTCCCTTCCCCCTCC